TGGGACCAGCAGATGGCATAATGGTTATATTGCTGGAGTCCCACATGGCCAACTGCAGTTTGAGTCCTGGACCTGGACACTTGAAACTCAGGCGGGCACATGTGTGTACATGCCCAAAATCCCAAGAGGACGAGAAGGGACTGTGGCATGGCCATCCCCCCCCCGCCTTGGGGGTGATTTCTCGCTTTCTGTCTCTGTCTCTCCAGAGAGCACACACACCCAATAGCAAAAATTTCTCTTTCAAAAAAAATTACTTTTATTTCAAATGTCATATGAACATATACTAACATTCAGAAGTGAGAACGATCATATTCTATTTGAGTCAATTTCAGAAATTCATATAATGGAATCATACAGTATGTATTCTTTGGGATAAGGATTTACTCGGCTTAAAGTTTTTGAAATTCATCCATGTTGCCCATGTACCAGCAGGTTTTCCTCCCCCTTTCTATTTCTGAATAGTGTTCTACTGTATTGACATCCCACAGTGATTTGTGGATTCTCCTATTGGTTGATACCCAGGTTGTATACAGTTTTTGGATTTTCAGAGTAAAGCTTCTCTGTATTTCAGAGACGTTTTATGTTACTTTTTTTTTTTTTTTTGAGATGTTTTTGCTATAAGGCACATGCATTCACCAGAAAGACAGAGAGAGACAGAAAGTGAAAAATCACACACACACACACAAACACACCCACACACACACACACCCAGAGATGGCCACGCCGCAATCCCTTCTCCTCCAATCTCCTCTCGGGATCTTAGGCATGCACATGCACGTACCCAGTGTGAGTTTAAGCCACCAGGTCTGGCGCTCAAACCACGGTTGACTACATGGGAGTCCAGCAACATAGCCATTATAAACTGCTGGTCCCTATGTTACTCTTTTTGATTATGAGTTAGGTTGTCCATTTTTATTATGTTTGTTTTCTAGTTATAATTTCTCTTTAATGAACTATGTACTTACTTATAATCTTTAATATTTTTGGAATTTGAAAGGTTTTCTTATACATGTTTAAGAGTTTTTAAACAGTAAAGATATTACCTCTGTAATTATCCTTCTTGCAGTTTGGTATTTGATTGTTTTCCTAACTTTCATTTGGGTAGTAATAGTCAATTCTCAAAATTTAATTATAAAATAGAAGTTTTATTTTACAGTACATTCTTTTTTAAAAAAATAAATTATTTTATTTAACTTTATTTATTTATTTATTTTAATTTGACCAGAGAAGGATTGAGTAAGAGAGAGAGAGAAGGAGAGTGAGAAAGCAAGCTGCCAAATCTAGGACTGGAACCACAGTCAGCCATGTGGGAGTCCAGCACCCTCAACCACCACACCACCTGCCTGCCCCTATAATATATTCTACAATAATCTGAGAGGACTAACTGCATATATATATATATATATATAAAATAAACTCCTGTTCTCCTTGCATCTTTACTCCTGCTATTGCCAGAATATACACACTCACAAATAACTTTACATAGACAAATTCAATGGTTTAAATTTGATTTAAAGTTGAATTTAAAATTTATATGTAAATTCTAGGCTATTACTAGATTTATAGCTGAGAGATTATGAAGCTCTGAAACTGAATAATATATCAGGTAGCCAAAATGCCTTTTTTCAAAGTTTTCATTTGCCTTAGGATAATAGTTGCTAAAAGACTGTATTTCAGAGCTTAGTTAAAATACTGCTCTTGAATCAATCCATGTGTGAGCAAAACAGTATTTTTATTTTTTTAAGCTTGGCCTGTTTATCTTGGCAGGGTTCGAAGATCTCTAATTAGCTAGAGTGGTCCAAACTGTGCGGAGATTATGACTTTCAAAGAGGAGAGCCAAAAGCTTTCTATCAAAGGGCATATTGAGAGAGAAAGTAAAAAGAAAAATGAAATGATTAGTCTGCTGTATATTAGGATATTGTCCATATATTAGGAGGGGACTTTAAGAAGTTCATTGAAAAATAGAGTTGAAGTCTAGTTTATTTTGGTGCAAAAACTTTTTAAATCTATAGATAGTTTTTTCATACTAGTCATTTCCCATGAACTTGTTGAAGACCCCTCATGTGGCACTTGTTTTGGGGAGCTGTCAAATCCAGGTAGCAGGGTAGCCAGGGGGATTCTGTTTAGTAATGTAGCAATGATCTACTAATTCAACATGTGGAAATCTACATAAAACATTTATTTCAGATATAGAATCCTATATGAAGGGAAATGTTCATTATAACACCATTTCTGTAGCTTTACCATAGACAAATACAGGGAAATTTTAAGTTTGACTATAAACCCAATTGTAATAGTGTGTTCTGAAGATATCAATACATAAATATGATGAAAAGTGACAAAATTAAAATTTAAAACCAAAAAAGAAATACGTTTTAAAAATTATTAAACTTGGGACTGGCAGGTGGCATGGTGGTTAAGGTGTTGGACTCCCACATGGCCAACTATGGTTTGAGTTCTAAATCTGGCAACTTGGTTTCTCACTTTCCCTATCTCTGTCTCTCTCTGGTCAAATTAAAAACAAATTAACTAAATTAATTAAATAGACCATTCTTTTTTAAGAATTATTTTATTTAACTTTATTTATTTAAATTACCTGCCCGCCCCGATAATTCTTTTTAAAAAGTAAAAAAGAAAATTTTAAGCTTGAATTTAGTAATAATATTCCAAATTTGCCCAAATCTACAAATTAATATCTACACAATTCACCATAGTCTTATTTATTTATTTATTTATTTATTTATTTATTTATTTGAGAGGTTTCTGCTATAGGGTTTATGCCCTCACTGGAGAGACAGAGAGACAGAGAGCGAGAAATCAACCCCCTAGGGATTATGGCCACCCCGCAATCCCTTCTTCTTCATTCTCCTCTCAGGATTTTGGGCATGCACACACACATTCCCGGCATGAGTTTTAAGCCACTCAGTCTGGAACTCAAACCACTCTTAACTATGTAAGAGTACAGTGACATAACTATTATGCCACCCACTGATCCCCCTACCATAGTCTTTTTACCAAAATATATTAATCTACTGATTTCTAATACATCTGCTGTGTTTGCTAAGACATCTGGTTCTCTAGGGAAATTAATGTGCTCAAAATATAACAAAGTTCTTTCTGCTTGGACCAAACCATTAATAATTTGTAATGAAAGACACAATGACAGTACATAATTGACCTAAAGAAACATTCAGTTTTATAGGTAATTTTGTATTTACTCATTTTTAGAGTAAATCATAAAAATTAATAAATAATTAAACACATTAAAAAATTATAGTAATAGAAAACTTATCTATTCCTTTTATTCTGTGTTGATAAGTTTGCTTAAATAAATCAATCTGCCTTGCTTAAAATGAAACATTTGCGGATTGACTTTAGATTAGAATGCCTCCTATTATCGAACCCTAGGTTTATACTCATCCCTACAAAGTTGACGCAGCCTGATGAAACAGAAACAGCACAGCTCTAGAAGTCAGCGCACCATGTTGAGTTCCTGCCACATCTCAGTGCATGGCCTTGAGGGAGTCATTTGTCTACTCAGGGCCTCAGCTTCTACATTTGCAAAAGGCAGCTTTGAGATTGAATGCTTCCTGATGTTCCTTCCCACTGTGAAATTCTATAAAGTTACTGTAAACTTTGTGCCATGTTAGCGTTACCCTCCTTTTCTATACCAGGTCATTCTATGCCTTCCAGAAGCATAGCTAAGAGGTGCAAGGATGTGCCATTAGCATGTGAGGCATGAGCAGGGAAGTTGCTGCTTCATTCTCCTGACAGAACTGTGCAGCTCTCAGAAGAGCAGAAAAAGTGAGGAGTACTATGCCTTCAGACCAGCAGGGCTTATTCCAGCTTCTCTGAAACAGGCTTGTATTTGAATCTGGGCCCTTGATTCGCTAAAGGGGAGCTGTGGACAAACGTTTCCCACCCAGTTACCTATGAGTCCACCCAGAGGAAAGCACATCTTCTACTGCAGCCTATTAACTGGCTCAAAATACTCTTCTAAGGAGGGGTCTTGACTGGGGACTCTGTCTCAGGTGGATCCAGCCAATTATCCAGCATGGGGTTAGGGCCTGAGGACACGTTTCTGAGGACTCTTCTTACTAATATTTTAAAATTCTCTCCAAGGGGCCTGAGGGTAGTCATCTCTACAAACATTATTCAGTTAAAGCAGACTGCTTTGGCACAATGACTGTGATATATTCCCATATCCTGACCCCGAGGAAAAGATTATAAGGTGTTGAGAACAGGAGAGAGTCTGGTGGAGAACTAGAGGGGGAGAAGTACCAGGAAGCTAGTTGGTTGAGTATTCCCAGGAAATGTCAGGAATGGCTCCTGGTTCTGACAACTGTGATTTCTCTAAGTCAACTGAGCCTTTAGGAAAATTGTGAGGGAAAAGAAGCTTCTCATTGAAACCCTCTCTTCCCTTTCCCCACACCCACCACCGTCATCAGCAGCATGTCACCACCTCCAACCATGTCATCATGCCTCCCATTCTGCCTTGCCTCCAAATGTCAGGATAAAGTCAGTCACCTATCAGGACCTTCCTATCACTGTACTCTCTGGCCACATGAATTTTCCAATTCAGAGGAAATGTTTAAATCATATCAATGAACCTGTAAAGACTGAACTTCAGGCAGTGGGGTGGGAAGACTTGCTTAGGTGGTCAAAAGGAGACTAACGTAAATCTCCTCAAATCCCACCCAGAGATGCCACTGGTCTGCCAGACCCACAGCAGTGCATGTCTTTTAAGGGATCTGTGAAAATTCAAGTGCACGAATTCAATAACAGTATACCACTTTGTAATCAAAATCATTTTCCTACTCTATTTCTCTGAGTCAAGACTAAGGTAAGGCAAGTAAGAAATTCACTTTGGGAGTAAAACTGAAGAGACCACCCAAAAGCCCAGAGTTAATATTTTAGTGTAATACCTTAAAAACAAAAATCGAGGAAAAAATCCAGATGAACAAGTACCACATTTTTAATAAAGCAGAATCAGTATCACCGTGTCTTTATTTCGTTCTGTTTCGTTGCCGCAGGTTCCAACAGGCTCAGTTCGGCACTTCCTTCCATTCAGATGAAGCACACCAGTGAGTGCACATAATGAAACGTGCAAAGGAGGCAAATGTCTGCTAGTTGCATCACTCTGTGTTTGGGGTGGGGAGATCAACCAGGGCCCATGCCTGGGCTGCAGCCAACCTAGAAGTGGCAGGGAGCCCAGGAGACACTCTCACCTGACTCTGCTTCTCAAAAGGAGTCCTAGAGGGATGACGGTCCCACAGGCCCAGAAAGAGGCTCTGGCTGAGCAGCGCGGTGCCATTCTCTGTGGACACCTTTCCTGTCCTGCACACAGGAAGGGCAGGGTCCTGTACAGAGTACCCTCCATCTTGCATACTGAAGATCAGGTTCCTGCCTGAAACAGGGAAATCCTTCACTTCCTGTTCCCCCAACATCCTTGTCATAATACAAGCCATTGACAAACGTTATTGATCATTTTCCGTCACTCACAGAGCAAATGCAGGGAGGGGAAATGTAATGAGCTATTTTTCCTTGCGGAGCACTGAGAGAGCATGATAAATGGTTACAGGGAAGTCTGCTGTTATGAAACTTTCAGTTATTCCTGAGAACCTTTCTATTATCCCTGAAGGGGCGGTAGGAGGGGCATCTCAGTGCTGTCAGTCATATGGGGACTGCATTGGGGTAACTGAGCTCTCCTCTGCTAATGCAACGTAATCAAAATCAGAAGAATGCCCAAGAGGGAATGCTCCTTAATTTAAGTGAGCTAAAGGATATTTTTGGAGTAAAATGAATCCTCTATGAAAATAAATGATGGAAAGGGGCCATTCTTGAACCAAGTACCTTTACTGCATAATAGCAGTGGCCAGACCAGAAGCAGTAAGCCCGATGACACTGGTGAAGGCAGGGCCAGCCTCAGTCACATTGTGGGCGATGTTCCCCAGCTCCTGGTTCCTCAGCATCATTGTCTCCAACTTCAAGTCCCAGTATCCATCCTGTGTTATCTCTACTCGCCTTCGGCAAGAAATCAGAGACTGTGTTTAGCAATGATCTCTCACAATTATTATTCCATCTTACTAAAATATTTTTTAATAAAAAGAGTTATTTATTTAATTTTATTTATTACTTTTTTTTTCTAGAGAGAAACATGGAGAATGAGAGAGGGAAAGTGAGAAAGTAAGCTGCCGGGTCCGGGACTCAAACTATGATTGGCTAGACTGGCTATCCAGGAGTCCAGCACCTTAACAACCATGCCACCTGCTTGCCCCAGAAGATTCTTAGTAAGAATTTTAAGAAATGTCTAAAGATAGTATATTAGGCATTTATTAAAAGCAATAGGTAGATATTCCATGGCTACAAAGAGCTTACAAAATATATCTGGGGGGGGGCGGGTATCTTCAGACCCTGTGGATGGCCGCATACTAGTTAAACAGAAAAACTCTAGGGCTAACTAACTGACTTCATGCCCAGTATCCGTGCCCTAGAGATGGAGAGGAACTAGAAACACTCAGAGAACAGGGTTAGCTTAGTATATGGGGACTCTGCTCTTAATATTCCTGTTGCTTAAATATTTTCCCTAAGGTCCTCCTCAGGCTTCCCACCGCATTGTAGGCAGGATAATGCTCCTCCCCAACACCCATTATGTCCACACCCCAATCCTCAGACCTGTGAATAAGTTAGGTTTCATGGCAAAGGAGAATTAAGGTTGCAGATGGAATTTAGATTGCTAATTGGCTGACTTTCAGATGGAAAGATAGGATCCTTGTAAGTAGAAGAGGGAGGCAGAAGAGAGGGAACCAGAGAGAGAGCAATATGAGAAGGACCCGCCCTGACATGAGTGACTTTGAAGAAGGAACGAGGACAGGAGCCAAGGAATGTGGGTGACCTCTGGAAGCTGGAAAGGCAAGGAAACAGATCCCACCCCCCCAGAGTTTCTAGAAAGAATGAAGCCATACCAACACCTCTCTTTTAGCTCAGGAAGCCCCCTGTTGGACTTCAAATCTCCTCAAGAATTGTAAGACAGTACATTTGTGTTGTTTCAAGCCACAAAGTTTGTGACAACTTGTTACAACACCAATAAGAAAGTAATACATCTCTTTGCCATTTACCACAGCTCAAATGTCATCTTAATGAGACTTTCCTTAACACTCCTCTTCCACTACAGTATCTCCCAGCCCCAGGAGTTCTCTATAATGCACTTTAATTCTCGTTTGCTTATGATTTTCTAAAATTATTTTGTGTTTACCACTCTTCTCACAAGAATGAAAGTCCTAAGAGGGCTGGGACTTTCTCGTTCTAATCCACCTATGTATTGCCATTGCTTAGGGTCAAGGAACATGGCAGTCATTCAATACTTGTATGAAAGAGCTTTAGCTCATGGGGAGCATTAGTGCAACTCTGGTAGAAGAGTCCCAAACCCAGCAGGTCCTGTATCACAAGGAATTATCCAATAGAAAACAGGAATAAAAACAGATTTAATGGGCCAGCCGGTGGCGCGCTGGTTAAGGTGTGAGACTCCAACACCCACCAGCCACAGTTTAAGTCTTGGACCTGGTGGTTTATTTTCACATTTTCCCTCTCTCTGTCTCTCTCTAGTGAATTAAAATAATAAGAATAATAAACCAAATTAAATCAGTTCTAAATAAAAAGAAACACCACCAGAATTAGCAAGAATAATATGAAACCAGTTGCTTAATTCTAGGTAGAGGGGAAAGCAAGCTTGAGTAGTGAGTACTATCTGAATAACTGCCAACGAGTGTCTTGTGCGATTACCAATAAGTAATCAGTTTGGGAAGACCAGAGAGCGAACAGGTAAACTGAGTTAAACACATAAATAAGTTGCTCAATTTTAACAATTCCTAAAAGAGCACAAAAAATGTCTCATAATAGGGGAAAAATAGACTAGTAAAACAGGAGAAAGATTACTCTTTTTTATATTGGTGGGTCAGTTTTCCAACGGAAATTCTGAAAACTATCAAGTTCAATTAGCCATTGTGCGGCTAATACTCTCGTTTCCCTAGTTCGAAATAGGCAGACCTGGGACTTTAAAAGGTCCCTTAAGAAAGGGCCAGTCCCAAGGAGACAGGACCCGCAGCCCAGCAGGCGAGGCTGTCCTCGCGCGCGGCCAAGGCCCTATCAGCATCCTGGAAAAGGGTCTCCCGGCTCGGTGCTGTGCCAGACCGGGGCTCGCCTGGAGCCGCGCCAGATCCCACGGGTCACAAGGTGGACTCTGAGCCGGGCCGAGCCAGGCAATGGCAGTCCCGAGGGACCCGAGTGCCTGCACTCAGCCCGCCAATGGCCGTGGGGGTAGGGGGGGACCGC